AACGGAAGAACGGTAAGCTAAACGGAAATAAATAACATGTCCCCCAGGATATAAATTAACGGTTCTGGAATACGGTTTTGGTCAATGACTAATCTGAGAAAGTCTCAGGAACAATGATAAATTACGAAATCCTGTTTTTATAGTGACGAGGAACGGTACAAAACAATTAGTGGGGAAATAAGAAGTGATTTAATTGCAAAGGATGGGGACGGCAACAGAGGAGTCATCTAACGGATACTTAGTCTTTAGTACATTTTAAAAGAGAGGAGATAGTACTTACCACAAGGGGGAAAGCAAGGCAGTCTACCTTGTTCTGCTCTTGATAAGCTAAAGACATAAAGTACTTGATGAGGGTAGAGCTTAAACAAGAACTGAGGTCAGAATCGAGGGTGATTTAACAAATGATTGCATCGATGTAAGTGAATGCGCATGCGCTCTCTCCATGCGATAGAAACAGACAGAATTATAATGAAATTAATTTTAATTAAGGGCACCCGATCTTATTCTTATAATGTATATAATTAGAAATGCGCTCGTTCCCTTACCCAATCAAATTTTTGTATCCATTAGACCTCATTGTGATCAATTGTTCTGCTCACACTTTGTGGTTTCAGAGATATTTCGAAAAATCTAATGGAAGATAAGTGGACGCTTAGCCCCCCCGCCCATAGACACATCCAAATTATGTGCTCTCTTCTGTAAGCACACGTTAAACTTACTAGTAGTAGTAGTAGTACTTACTACACTTTTAAAACGGCTAAAAAAGTAACGTTCACGAAAACATCAACAGTAAAAAATAACTATTTTCGCACCCTCAAGGGTCGCCTAAATGGCGATTCTGATGCAGGTATAATAAAAAAAATCATTATCCCAGTTTCTTGGGACCACTACAAAAAATCTTCTTCTGAATTGTTTCGCGAAGCAGTTCTCGCCCACTTCCTAAACGTTTCTCTCGCCATTCGTAACAAAAATTGTACGTGGCTTTCCGCTCGGTGGCTAAACGAAGCTTTACCTTGTAACTACCCGCTCAAAGAATATTTTCCCGAGCCAACAAAAAACTTTTGCTCGGTGGATAGTGCCCCTTGCCCATAGTTTCTCACCCCACTTCTCCCCATCTACTTTTATGCAAATCTATAGTTTTTTTCATGATGTATCTCTTTCTTTATCCTACACAAGAAGCATTCAGCTTCAATGTACTTTATTTATCTTGAACCCGAGCGAATCTGTGACAGATCAAGCTGGAACTTCCTTAACGGCTGTACAGGGTGAGCCAACGATTGCGTGGAATAACTTAATATCTTGATAAGATTTTTCGATAGAATACTTTTGTATTAGGTACGATATGGTTGAATATTCTCCATATTTTAAATATATTTGGAATTATACAGGGTGCGCTCACAAAGTAGGGCGCTAAAATGGTACATTTTTTTTAATGGAACCCCCTGTATTTGAAGGCATTTTTTAATTCTACGTGTAATTGTAGGTACGACTTTTTTTTATTATATGGTAAATATTCGAAAAACTAGTAGTTTTAAAGATACCTAATTCCATTTGTAAGAAAAATTTGGCATTTAGAAGCGACAGACTTTACATCATTAATATTTTGTTTGATATAAAATCTGAAAATATGCAAATCTGTATGACAAATACACTTTGTCAGTACTACGCTTTTGAGGAAGAATTTCTAATAAACGAAAATTGGTTACACTATCCAATTAGAATTATTTCTCCTTTTACCTCAAATAATAATTGCATAGGTAATCCTCATGTTGGTAGTAAATAGTACATGCAACCTTTTTTAACGATACCTCTGCGGTTTTATCATATTCCGCGTATCCACAGGCGGCGCGTTCTATATCTCGTTACAGGTAAGAAAAATAACAGAATCCCCAACTTTCTCGCAAAACAAAACCGAAGTGGTAAAATGTTATGGGATTTAAAATTTAATAGGGAAAAACTCGTAATACATAAGAAGATTTAGAGTAATATCCCCGGTGTCTATATATCTCAACAATAAAAATAAATTTCAAACAGGAATTTGCATCTATAGAGCCGCAAAAATCCTATAAACGAGTTTAAATTGAAAATTTATCGCAGCATTTCGTCATAAATACAAGGAATGCATGAGACCCTGATGTTCTATTTCCTGAAAACAATTTAGGAAACCAAGAAATTGCGCTACATGATAAATTAAGTTTTATTTTTCGATATATGCCCGGACATAGCTCTCCAAAACTAACGTTTCGCGTTATTGCCCGATGCAATTTCGAGATTACACATTCAAGCTGAGCGTCGAGCGAAAGTTTCAAAATTAGAGATTGGATTTGCGAAAACTGCCGTGTATCTTTTCCCTATTCGTGCAAATCTCGACAAAAAGTGATAGATGATCCCTCTGAAACACAAGAGATGTCCCTCATCTCCTTCTAGTCCTTTAAACGGAACGCATTTTTCTCTCCCGAAATTATTCCCGTCCTAAGCACACATTTCTTACAGAGTTTAGTATTCTGCGGCGCGAAGTTCGCACCGCTAAAGCCCGCATTTCTATTCTCGTTGCATTTCTACCAGCATTTGTTCGTGACGTGATTTGTGTGTCCCTCTGTTCCCAATGTCACTTGATATCATCTTCTTCGTTCTCACGACGCTTTAATGTGCGACAAGTACTTAAATAAATTGTGTCATCATGTTATGCCCGAGATTATTCCTGTATCCTGAATATACCATTGTTTCGTTTTTATTTCCTTTCTTACCAAGTATTTATTATTCTATTCGTTTATCCTAATGCTTGAGCTTTATTCTTGTTTACATCGGAGAATCCCTTTTTGTAAAGGAAAAGATATTTAATGTTAGCCCATATACATTGTCTTCAAATATATATCGTTATAAATATAAAGCTCCATTTGAGAAAGTTATCTTTATTTAACAACTTATCCACTGAGTTTTAGATACAAACCCTCTGCCCTAACCGACAAAACAAAACCCTCACCCTGAATTTCAGTTCTGAAACTTTTTCAGATATAGCCCAACACGGTAATCGAATAGAAAATAAATTAATTGAACGCAGCTGTAGGGGGCTTCAGAGGTTATTATTATGTTGCAGTAAGTAAGTATATGGTACAAGCTGCTCTTTTCTCACGAACATCACTAGAGTTTACATAAGTGATGTAATTATGATAGACTATCCAGGAAGCCTTACTCGAGTCATTAATTATAATTCCCTAATATTAGTAAAGACGATGAAAATCTAATAGGTATTAATGTTGGGGTTTTCGTTAACGTTTTCATTATTATTTGCCTGTTACACTATTAATCAGCGAGTTCTCTAGCGGGTGTAGTTGATTATTATAGCACATCATTTGGATAAACTGCATAGTGCACTTTGATCCGTAGGGAGCGAATAAAGCAACACGAGCGGACGAAAATTGATTGGATTGAATTGTTTGTTGTACTGGCAAATTCAATAGGAGATACAAACGATAGTACCTTCAATTTCTTATATACATGCGTATTGGCGTGTGGTATAAAAGTGGAGAACGCGCCCGGTGGTATGTTAAGGGTAGAACCAAAAACAATATTTGATTCAATTGAATAAAAACACTATTTTATTCAATGGTAAAACCATTACACAGCAAATTAACCCGAGGCCAAAATCCAAAAATTGACATAGATAGTACATCATTCTGTAAACTAAAGGAAAACACAGTTATCTGACACTGTGGACAAGTTGTAACATTACGGGTTTTTTTAATCTGTTCGACGATTTAATTAGAACCAAAAGTAATGACAAAATTAATGGAACTGAAGGTTGCCGAACTTCGTGTTAAACGTGTGGAAAGAACCCTTAATACGACAGGTGTTCTCCAAAACGACATAACGCTTCTCTTATTGAGGAAGGGATCAGTCCCTCGGAGTATTTCTTTCAATTGGAAAATCTCGGACAAATTTCTAGAAAAATGGAAGAGAATTATAGAAGAAAGGAAGAAGAAATTACCAGAAAATGGAAGAAAGTCTAAGAGGTGAATTTGTGGAAACTTTCAGACAGTTTTTGGAACCGATTAGTACTTAGAAATCGAAAATAATTTTTCCAGAAAATTCAAGAAATAGAAATTGGAGTAGAAAACATAGATCTAGAACCGACTAGTATCGATGGAATCAGTCACGGGAGCTCCCACGAGGTGTTACCACTTGAAGAAGTTACGATTGACCATTATAAATCAAAGCATATTACCAAACCGCCGCGCCGGTTTACGACGGAAAACTTCCTGAGAAAATTATTTTATCCAGTTTGAAGTGGCCCTGAATGCGAACGCATGGTGACAAAAAAACAGCGCCATTGTTGGAATTGCGAAGAAATTGGGCTTTTCTAGAATTAATGTCGAAAGCTCACCTGCCGAATGGAGTCAATAACAAAGCTGGAAAGCTAAACAAAGGTCGATGAAAAGGGGCACATCGACCTGCTACGTTAAGGCCCTAGAAGTAGTGATGTGGATTGTGAAATAATGATTTGTAAGTTACATAAAAACCGGTTATATTACGCGTAACTTACACGAGGTCGGTTTTTTTTTATGTAATGCATACCTACTATGCGATCAAAAATAAGTTACTTAACTTCTACTTGAACTTCTAAAGGCGACTCGACAGCAACTGATTTTTGATCGCCCATTAGCTTTTATGAAATTTACGTAACTTACGTTTTTTATTTAAAAAAAACCGTAATTTTTGTAAATTTACACGAATAAAATACCTATTTGATACATTTCGAAAGGTACCTACTATCAACGTAAACGATTCACCGTCCTCAACTTCCATGATTCACATTCCTTGTAAATTACGTAAAAAACATAAATCACTGGTAATTTTACTGTAATATTACGGTTTTTATTAAAAAATGTTAAGTTACATAAATTACATAAAATACCATAAAAAGCATAACAAATTGGTAATTTTACGCGTAATATTACGAATTTAAAAAAAACGTGTAATTTCACATCACTAAATGTAACGAAGCACCGGTTTTCGGAATGATCCCCATTGAGCTACCGAATTGGGAAATATTAATCCGGCCAATTAAGTGAGTACATATAATTAACCGTAGTTAATTAATTGTGTTGCGGCAAACTTTGTCTGATTACATTGGGCCTGGTGTCATTAGATGCGCTGATTTCAAGATAAGTGCCCGATTATTAGGACATCGGGGAGGGATCCTGGTAATTAAACAAAGAAGCCTATCAACCGTGTTCACTGGCCGTCCGAAATTTCCGACGTTCCCTTTCAGTATTTTGGGAAAAGGTAACGCTTAATTTGTGGGGAATCTTCCTTTCCGTATTGGTTGGTAAATTTTGCATTTGAACGTACCAATCAATCTGGATAGTATAAAAGTTCGTTCTCCTTGTTTCGTTTTTCCGTAGTGAGAATGTACCGTTAATTAATTTGTGCTTTCGTTCCGATTAGAGAAATTGCTACTGTTCCGTGTACCGTAATTTTGTTTTAGATTTTTGCCATGTTTGTGCGCGGACTATCGAAGCTTGTCCGAATAATGGTTACCGGAATCCATGTAAAAATATCGCAATGAAAGGATTCAAGCTCTTATAATGTGAGTTCTTTCACCTAGTTCTTTCTTTTGCCGTTAGAGGCCCTTCTTCTCTTACTTTGTCTTGTTGCTAAAGTGCACGCTTTGTGCCTTTCTACACTTAATGTTATCCCTTCTTTAATTCAGTATTCCGTGTAGTATTTTTCTTTGTTCCTTTCGCGCAGTAAAGATTTATAGTGTTTTGGCCTTACCATAATTACCTTTGCGATGGTTTTCTCTTTCTCTCTTTGATGTCTTGGTGGCTCCATTGAATCGTTTTACGGATTAGTATTTTCATTTAACCAATACGTGGTGTTGTATTATTACGGAGTTTTAGGGAACGAACGGACAAGCGTGCGGACTCGAGTTCCACCAAGGGTACGGACCTGCTTCTGGCCAAGGTCGATGGTAACAGCGGTTTGGCGGATCGGTCTCGGAAGCCTTGAGTAAACTCAAACGGAGTAAACGGCAATTTTAGGAATTCTAAAGGGCAAGCGTTGGATGGATACGGGTAAATGCTAAAAAAAAATTGAAAACGTACAGCAATTTACCTAAGCGGGAATAGTAAATCGGATTCGGTAATGGTATATACGGGAAAGCAAATGCAGGAAAGTAACAAAAAGCTTACCTTGCAATTAAACGGGGCAATAAAAGTTACTGTGCTAGAAAAAGCAATATAGACACGGTACAGTAATGAAAAAGCAACAATTAAACGGTATAAATGCAAAATAAATATACAGAAAGCTCAAAATTGCGGCACTTATGAAACGTAGCTTGCGAAAGTCAAACAGGCAGAAAAGATCCTCCTTAAACAACTGATTTGCCTTTTATAAAATTCGGATAAAATCATCCAAAAATTATTCCTTTTTGTAATGAATTGTTCGGCCTCCTGACGTCCTAAAAGTCTGTAATTGATCTCAAAATTTAAAGGAGAGTAAACCTGCATGACTTTTTTGTTTTTGTGCTCGTTTTAAATTAAGATAGGAAACCAAAATCATATAAATAATTACTTTAAGAAGCTGAAATTCGCCGTCGTCTTCTAAGTGGCAAGAGCTTTCGGATGCAACAAAGACGATTGAAATATCTTGACGGGAACGGGTGCAAACGGCGGATTATATACAGATTTTGATTCCTGTAGCGGAGGCTGTACCACAACTATAGAAATTAAATCAAACACCTTTACCTTCTATCTTCAATGCCTAGTACCAACACAAATTGATCACCATAACTGGTGACTTTCCGAAACAAGAGTAGAATTTCGAGAAATCCGACTCGAGCATGACTTGTTAAAGGTGATGAAGGGAACTCTATCGACACAAGTACTCAGGCTTGTGGGATGCCCCAGGGACTGACCACCCCTGCCCACTTAATAGGGTTGGACTGTGAGGGGCTGTAAAAGTGGGTGGATGGTAGGGAAAAGAAAATAATTTGTGCTCATTATTTTCCTTTGGGATTTTCATGGTTCAGCTGAATCAGCACTTGAAAGCTCGTCGCATCTATGAAAATACTACTACTACTGGTGACTTCCAGGCGGAAAACGAGTACTTCGTTACATTAGAAAATTTCGAGTTTAAAACTTTCGTAAAAAGGTATGCCAACGGCTAGCTCAATGTGACGAATCTTTAGTGAAATTACTTTAAAAAGGAATGCACCTTTTCTCTATATTTACCATGGTGAATTTTAAACTCGTCGTACTTCCGACCACTTGACAACAAGTATCAACACAATTAAATTTGCGAAATATTTACATATATCCATATCCATATTTAAATGAATCAAGTGGGCACTTTGCTGTTTAAAAAGCATTGAACTATATACTCTGTAACTGGAACGGCATCGCCCGTAATAAACCGTTGTCAGGGGCCGTGGCGAATTTTTGTGAGAGAGAGATGGGTAGAGGTAGGTATCCCTTACCTTGTTCCACTCATGTGGGCTTATGGGATGGTTTATACTACGTCTTACATTTTGCTTATTTTTGTCTAAAATAAGTTATTAAGAGATTTGCAAGAATGGTCATGAATTATGTTGCATATACGTGCAATCATTTTTATAATAAAAATTCAAATATTCAATTTCATGGGTACGTTTTGATAACATTTTTCAACCTCGACGCGCGCATTTAATATTTTTGCGCATGACGGCATTTGCACCGCTCAGATTTCTTTACTAATGTACCTCACACTCATTTATACTGTCCTTATGAATGATAATTATTCTTTCCCACTGTTTAATACTAATTCAATGATTCCACTCGCTAGAGAGCATCATATGAAGAAAAGCGTTAAAGCCACCAAAACCTATAAAGCCGTTTTGACTTACTAATTTGAATATGCTTTATTATTTAATTTTTTACTCAACATTATTATTGATACTGCTCACTAATGGGGCGAAAAATACCTTTAAGGATTGATTTTTTTATTTATTACCGATTCCTTCGGTCTACAATGAACGTACATTAAGAGGCGTCAAAGTGTAAAGATAAAATATAAAAGCATAGGTACACATATCACACAGGTAGGTATATCACAAAAGTTAGACTAGAAAATATCACGGTTTGCATTTTCTACATCCATATCCATCCACATATGCTTTAATGGTGTAGAAGCAGTTACATTTGAAAAACTTTTTTATTTCCCTACGAAATATTCCGAAGGATTTGCAGGTCTTGAGTTTTTTTGGAGCCAAGTTATAAAGGTGAGTTCCGGAAAATATGGGAGACCTTTTGTAGAAGGTGTAATTCTGACCTCATATAACTCGGCGTACATTTCATCTGGGAAGAAAACTGGGTTATATAAGTAGCGCAATTAACCCTCTGGTCCAATTACCACTACGAGTAAATTGAATTTTTGCTCTTAAAGTAACCAAGATTCTTTAATCTCATTTTATTCTGAAAAAAAGTGCTTTTTTAGATTTACTTTTACCTCGACGCCAATTGTAATATATTAGGTACCTCCTTGCTAATACTCGTATATTATGTAAAGTGTACGTTACAAACGAACACAACCAATGTTTATAACTTTATTTTACGTTAATAAGTAAATGGAATGCGTCGAGCCACCATGAATGACATTAATTGACATTACACTTGTAACTTCAAGAATCAAGTATGAGTGTGTGAGTGAGAAATGGCGCAGTTTACCACATTAGTAAGTATATATTTTAAGATATTCCATTAACAAATCGATATTGGCTCTTATAAAAGCATCGGCAAGCATTTATCTTTATCTTTCTAAGGCCCCAACCTCCCAGTTTATATACTTATCTGTATTTTTAACCAAATACGTGTGATCGGTCCTGCATATGCAATACAAAACAACGTGCCAGACAAGGATGAGAATACCTACGTTATGCTGGTTGCCTAAAATCATTGCGGCACGCGAGTTTGGCGCTCGATGCCGTTCCAGTTACAGAGTATATAGTTCAATGTTAAAAAGTAACCTTATCGCCCCCCTGATCAAACCTTTTACAAACACAATATAATTTAAAAATTATAATCGTAAAATTATAATGTCAAAAAGTTTTGAACTCAGCTGAAAGATTCTCGTTATTTAATATTTTATTCAAATGAAAAGAAAATTTTTCTTTCTTCTAGCCGGGCCTCGATAAAATAATTAATTTTTGTTCTAAAATAACCGGATGTTGTATAGGCAACGCGTTACGTCAATCGGCGACTAATTCGACACCTAAATCAATCATAATTTGATTTCCAACAATCCGTGCATGCCATGTAAGAGTAACCTGTTGATTAACCAACACGTACTAACTACCATAGATAGTGCATAATCTATAAGTATTTAATTTATGCATTGCTAATGAGGAACAGTTTTGATTGCTCACGTTCTTTCTATTGTAGAATTTGCATTTTTTAGAAACTGCTCAAAAATGAAAACAATTGGATTACTTTTGCTATATTTCGCTGTATATGCAACAGCTGTCAAGGTAGGCGCGATAATTTTGCCTTACACGTTATTTCTCACCTTTTTCTATTGTAGGTGGTGCCGAAATACATACGAGTTGCTTGGTACCGATCGGCGCTACCCTTCGCCGATGAGTGCATATGTCGAACGGGGGTCCTGGCGAGATACGCCACGAACGTGTTTTTGAACGCCGACTATCCGAGCGATTCATGTCTGAAGTGCTACGTAAGATGTATTTACATCCGTTTGCATTACATGAATTCTTCTAATGGCACTTGGAACGCTGACGAAATTTCACGAACGATGAAGGGAATGACGCCCAAAATTACGGAAAACTGTATAAAACGAACACGCAATATAGTCGACGACTGCGAGAAAGCGTTCCAGTTGTTCCTATGTGCTGTGTACGCCTTGCAGAAGGTAGTGAAGGGTTAGTGGTCCGTTTATTGCAGTAGGGTGGTTTCATATAGCAATGTCGCACCAAAACTATTAAGCAACCAATAAAAACTAAACAAATGGAAATTCTTGATTACTCTCCTAAATAAACTTGTCCCTCAATGGCGCGCGTCCTTTGAAGATCAAAATGTGTTCATCAATCGTTGTAGATTCCTTTTGAAGCACCACCCTCCGCTCTTTTAGTATTGAGTAACAAAAGGCATGTTTCAATGGATGCTTCGGAATGAGAAAACCCCCATAAAGCGCGATCGCTATCGGAAGCTAAAGGAGAAACCTAAGGAATGACTAGCTATTGGGTATTGTTGTGTAAAGGACAGCATGCCCTGTACGCTTTTCAATTATTTTTGACGTTACAATTTGAGATTGTTGTCCGAATTTGAAATAGGATTTTGTAATCGCTGATGTTTTGTTTATTTCACTGCAAAATTAAAAGTTTATTCTTTTTTAAATGTTATCTCCGGTCGTTGCGATAAGAAATTAGTTAACGTTGCGAAAGCTATTTAAATTTCAAGATCAGCACTAATTGTTATGGTTGGAAGTTTAACACCAGTCTTTATTTTACTCGATCACGCTCACAAATCAGGACCAATAAATGTTTTAAATAGCAGACGAAGCTGGTATTTGAGCGTATTGTAGCAAGACAGTCAGTCTTGTTGAATTGTAAAGTTGAAGAAAGTTGGAGTCTTTCAAGAATTTTCTTTACACCGTTTTTTGTGTTTTGTTGAAAATTTACGTCAATGTCGAGATTTTCATAATATCGGATGCGGTACGTTCACCGGAAAAATTATAATTACTTCGTAAAACGCTTTGTAAGTGCCTGAGATTAATTGAGCTAGCTGGTCAGGGGTTCATGTGGGTGGTTTAGTGCCATTTCACAACAAATTGTAAAAATCCAAGAAAAACTAAATATTTCTGCGTGCCATCCATGGTGGAATACGCTTTTGCTCACTATATTATGTAAATGGATTGTTCTGTTTTATCTGTAGTTTAGTGACTTTTGAGTAATGTCTTATACAAATATAATTTATGTGTGTGGTTTTGAAGTATTATCTGTGGAGTGTACTTTTAGTATGGTATGTGTTGGCTAATCCTTGATTCGTCATTTCAAGTACTTGATCGTGTCGATTTTTGCATTTTGTTTGTGCAAGTCGTGTACATGCTGATATTATGTGGGTTTTTTTCCATTTGCGTGTCTGGGAATTTAACAAAAATTTAATAATTAACAAGCAAAAATAAAAATTAATCCATGCCTATGTTCAAGATTTGGTCGCTAAATTCGAAGAACGAGATCTGTTACCAATAAAAAAAGAAAGCAACCAAAACTGCTTAATGAAGCAGCTCAGGTTGAAGTTCTTAGTTCTCTCCAGTTTGCCATAAATCCCTCAATGTCAACATTTAGTTTTTTTGTTAATTATTAAATTTTTGTTAAATTGTCTTAATAAATATTGACTTTATTGGTACCGCTGGAAAGCATTTTTCAGTAGCTTTCCAACGATGTGTCACAAGTATGGGTTTGCCATTTAGGATTTTTGAAGAGGGGGGGGGGGGGCTGTCACTCATAACGTCATTCTGGTTCCCGCTCGATACCCCCGAAACGGTTTTGCGCGATTTTCAATATATTCTTTAGTTTGGAAAATATGGCCGACTGCAAATACGGAAAGGGAACATCAATCTCCAGCCAGCCGTCGTACTCGGGTTATAATGTCCAAAACTAAAATTCCTTTAATTAATTACTCGATCTCCTATGCTAAAAATCTGGGGCAAACCTTAAAATTCAAGACAATTAGGCGCGCTTCATTTGACACCAGACGAGGTGTGCTGCAAAACAATCAATTAGCCACGGTTAATTATACTCAAGACACCGTACACACCGTACATTGATGGAAGTTACCCGCGTTAATGAACCCCCGGTACTTCGACGAACTGAAACGGGAGTTAAATTGTAGTTCCGGATCTATGAATTTCTTTTCTAGGAGTAAGAAATAGAAGGTAAAGGTAATGTTTCAATTTGTAGATCAGTTTTAACCACTGATAAGGAAAACAATAACAAGTCTCCCATATAACAATTTATTAACCCTTGGCCTAAGTCAATAGATAGATACAATTGGTACAAATGAATTTTTGGATTAAAATATTTTGGAACGTAGACAATATACGTATAGTAAATATTGTTCTTATGGAATTTCTGTGTCAGTGCCTCGGATGTGGCGAGTTACTCGGGACATTCAATTGTCGTCTATCCTGAGTTTAATTGTATTTCGTCTTTGGAGACGAGAGAAAGTGCCAAAACCATCATACGACGTATTGGAAATTGCGAACTTAGTAAAATTTGCATTTTCATTGTATCCATTTTTAGGCCTTGTTGGAGTCGTTCCTTATTTAGCCCACTCCACTAGCACTATATACCTACCAACGGTTTAGGAAAAATGAAAAAATTCAATACTAGGCTAGGGGAATTGCAGAGAGAAACATTTTTGTAAAGGGAAGCTATTAAGAAATAACGTGTATGAAATTTCCACAATTCTCATATATTATGCAAGGTGGTTCAAGAAACGTAGTATAGCTACGGGTTAGGATTCTGGTTGCCGAATCACTTGAGTAGTTGTACGTGATGCTGACACTGCACGTTTCGGTACATTTGGTATGCAGCGGAGTTGTCACGCTCATTGACAAGCGGTGGGCTATCAGTATTCTTAAGTGAAGGGTAATTAATTGAACAAACATTCACTGTGTGGTAATTTGAGAGGTTTTTTAAAATCTAATCTGCTCACTCTCGCCGTAATAGAGTAATTTGCTGCTGTGATAATAGTGTACAATGATACTCTTGCATAAAACCGACGATAACAACTAATACTGAAGCTACAGTCTTGTGTTTTATTAAGTGTAAGAGGCTTTGTTTCTAGCGCGTGACGTGCAATCATGAAGTTCTCGCTAATAGTAGGGCTAAGTCTTCTTACCTGTTCAGCGGCATTGCACATGGTATTAAAGGTACGTTTCGAACTGCCTCATCAATACCTTTTACCTACAGGTAGTGCCAATATACCTTCGAGAGGCATGGTACGCGATGATCTCTCCGTACATAAGCGAATGCGTTTGCGAAACGCGTGTCGATCCGAGCTTTGTCCGAAGAACTTTTTTGGAAACGGAGTTTCCCGACGATTCCTGTCTAAAATGTTTCATGAAGTGCGTTGGCTTTTTATTAAACGTAATGAATGCAGCTACCGGTGAATGGAATGAAAAAGAACTGGTACGACAGGTCGCAGGGGTAACCCCCGAAATTGCAAGCACTTGCAATAATCAAACTGCGGGCCTAGTGGACGTGTGCGAAAAAACGTTCAATTTCTACCAATGCTTGGTTTATAGCGTCATGGTCGAGGAATACTACGACCATAAGAACTAACCTGATCATATTCAAATATATCACAAATTTGATGTAGTCAATAAAGGATTTAAATTAAGAATTAGTCTCACTACTGTCCACCAAAAGCAACTATTTGGGGTAGGAATCTATAAGAAGTAGAGGTCAAAGATTTTTGTTCGAATATGGACTGTATTCAAATTAAATTAAGTAACTCATTTCTAAAAATTTATTAGTTAACGTAGGTATTTCATAGTCAAGGCAAATTAGACTTTTAACAAAAGAATATTGTGAATGGCGCTTTGTCAAGTGGATATGTTAAAATGGTCTATTATAACAAATACAAAAAAAATAAATACGTGAGCAGGGGAGTGGGACTAAGTTTTCGGGGAGGGTGTAAAGGGGGTGAAAATCGTATGACGGCAGTATTCAACGGAAAATTGGTAGATCGTGGAAACTCAACAACTTTCTTTTCAGTTACTTCCTCAAATTAACCGAAAAAATCGCGGAAAACCGTGTTTTTTGTTTTTTATTGTTCATTTGCGCAAAAATGAGGTTCTTTTATTTCCAAAATATTCGTTTTTTTTTTAAAAAAACTTTTCTTCGAATGAAAATTGCCCTTCAGAGATTTATCGTAGGGAATTCTATGTGGTGTCATTTTCTTCGTTTTTATCTATACTTTTTGAAGAAATAAAAAAAATATAGAGCCTTCGAGGGGTAGTTGACTTCGGGCGCCCACAAGTTACCTTTCGCTGCGAATTTTATCACGCGGTTTAAAGTTTCGTAATATTCGAATGGCGGTCTCTCTTTCTCGTGTCGCCAATATAGGAGCTCCAGCTATGAGAAGTGCTCCACAAATTTAATAGGTACTATCTTCTGGAGGGATTTTAACGAAATTCGCTAAGCTGGTGCATTTATGACTGGGGGCGTCAGAAGTGGGTACCGACAAAGGAATGTGGTAACCTCCGACAAGATCTTACTGATGGTGGAGTCAAAACTGTCAAATAGAATACTGATCTGCCACACAAACATTTGTTTACGAATTATTTTATTCACAATATTTACAAAATGGAATATCACTATAATCTTGCCTTTTGCGTCATTTGGAGAACTGAATCTTCATCATTCTCAAACTGTTCCTGTTTCTCAATCGGCTCTTCGTCATCACTGAATTCCTCAGGTAATTGATTTTCAACATCCCAAGAAAGACCAGGCTACTCCATTTCACAAGAAGTGTCTTCAGATTTATTTTTACCAAGGATACACCTGTATAATTTTAAATTTCCCACTCCTAATATTTAGTTTCACATCAATTGAGAGGTGGCGCTAAAAAGCTTCCCAATGACCCGTCTGCTCATCAAATATCTTAGCAATTTCTTCAGCAAACTTTTTCCCAGCCAATTCATTTTCCTCAGCAATTTTCGTAGTAATCTCGAGGTATTCATGAAAAACCAGAAAGTTTGTTTATTGTTTAAAGTTTAAAGCACGTTTTCTATTGAGCTGTTCCATCTTTATCAAAACTCACGAAAAATTCAATTCCAAATTATAGAACAAATTAGCACAAATTGCAACTCGTTTTCCGACGAACTCCTCATAAATCGCCTCAAACAACTAACTAACGATTTTGACTCGTCCTCTCTGCTCTCTCGTCCTTGGCTGCTTCTCCTATTTATTTTATGTGTGCAAGTTTCAATAAAATATCAAACATGTGCGACATCCACTTCTCAACCTCGTTATTAACTCTTAGGCACGAATGAAGTACTTGATTTTTAATTTCTTAAGTTATATACTTAAAATTTTCTTTCTAATAATTTTTCTATAAATTCTAATAATCTTTTTTTAATTTTTTTTATATATAATGCGCCTTACTTTTAGCTTTATTAGTAGATTGACCTGTAATTGGATGTAATTATATCGGTCGGTCAATAAACATTATTATTATTACTAGGAAATCTTGTGATTTTGTGCTCACCAATTTTTAATAGTTTTCTTAAAATTTTCCAGTCAATCCGACTCGATTCAGACCAAATGTTCGATTATGAACTGTATTAAAATTAAATCAAATGATGGGTATACAGGGTGGTGACTTGCGTAACGCATCATAGGGATTTCAATGTAAAATTCATAACATGCGATTATTGGTTCCCTAAATTATTTTAGAGCAAAAATGTATTAAGGTTTTTTGTAGAAAAAAATTTTTTACGTCAATCAACGGTGTTAGTTTTTGCATAATAAAGACGGGAAATTGGAAAAATAAAACCTCCATATTTCCAATAATCTGTGATGCCATGGAATTTTATAATACAAAAACTACCTACGCCAATATCCGTCATGCCATGGAATGTCCACTATAAAACAAATCAAATTCTATCAAAAAGTATTATATTTAGAACAGCGAATTCAACATAAAGAAAGACCAAATTACTAAAAACGGTTTCCTAATATAACAATTTACAATAATTGTTCGAATAAGTCACCATTAACTGCAAGACAGTAACCAAGTCGATCATAAAATCCATTTCGAACTGCTGCTAATTGATAACTGGATATCTTTTTGTTTTAGAAAATTCCATGGCATCGCAGATTGTTGAAAAAGATGGGGGTTGTATTTTTCCAATTTTCCGTCTTTATTCTGCAGAAAATTGAAAACTAATACGGTTGATTGGCGTAAAAAAATGTTGTCTACAAAAAACTTTAATACATTTTTGCTCTAAAATAATTTGGGGAGCCAATAATCGCATGTTATGAATTTTACATTGAAATCCCTATGGTGCGTTACGCAAATCACCACCCTGTATAGCGTTATACCAAAGAGTAGGTTGGTTATACGGACCCCGAGCTACGATCCACATCCACATCCGAGAGGGAAGGGCACCTCTCGTATCTTCCCTCGGCCGCCTTTTCTGTATCGAACGTTTTTTCCGTATCAACCGCCGATTAGGCTCGACCTCATTCCACATCCGAAGAGGAAGGACACTTCTCGCCACTTCTGTGGACCGCCTTTTTTGTATCGAACACTTTTTTCCTATGAACCGCCGATTAACCTCGACAGCCTTGCACATCCGAGAGGGGAAGGGGCATTCTTGCATCATCCATGGACTTTTTCGCACCGAGCTCTCGTTCTGTTGAGTTAATGAAACGATTTAAAATGTAGTTATGTCATGCGTTGAATTTATAAATATTTTAATTATGAAGCATGGATAAAATGCTGCTCTTCTGTAAATAATTTACACATGAATTATGTAAAACATGTAAATAACTGCTACTGTGATATAATTACACACACATGCATGGTATTCCATCAACATTGTCTAATATTTTAAACGAAATATCTGCAAAACATCGTCGAAAAATGTTAACATAACCTCTTAAGAGCTTGAAGTAAAGCACTCCCATAACATAAAAATAATCCTGATATGAAGTAACATAACTTCACATTTGACGAAATGAACTGAACTTCTTATTAAGATTGTAGAAAATTTCGGGCTTCTTCCGCAAATGTTGTTGTTGAAAACGCTCAATTAAGGTAAGTTCAAATTTCAAAATGTTTCAACCATATATTAAATTTCAATTACTATATGAACAAATTTTTATGCTTTAAAGTGCTTTTCCAAACAATTTTTCTTACCCTTTTTGAAGTGTTGAGCTGTACAAAAGGTTTTAGCAGTTTGACGCGAGCCATGCAACTATTTATTAACAAAAGGTCACAATGTAGCATAGTATTTTTTGGGCTTATCCTACAATTCAATTTTATTGCACACTATAACAGAAAAGACTAAACCATAAGCGTGTAGGAAATTAAGACCATTTCCCTAATGATGTGTCACTTGACCCAACGTTCAATTTAAAATTATTAAAGGGACCTCAACCCTGCTTACCACCAGGTGTGTAGATTTTTGAAGTAAAAGATGTTTTCCTTGCGAGTTATTGAGTCCGTTTCGTTTCTTGTGCCACCCCGTATAGAAGATTGTATTACTATCACTACCGAAAGTCCAAATGAGTGAATATTCTCACGAGGCTATCCTAAGAGCGTGATTTTATGTTAGTTTTTTGCTACCTTGATATCTCTGCGAAGGAAATTTTAAGGCAATTTCACAGTTTTAGAACCCTATGATATGATACGAGCAGAAAGTAAGTGTGATAATGAACGTCCCTCAGCGATTTTAATTCAACTTAAACCACATTTCGATATGAACATCTTGTTACAATGAGAGCAACCGCACTGGAAACATTTTTAGGTTGCATTACCTACACCTCCACCAGATTTCTACGAGTTGCAAACACGCTGATTATTCACTTCTTTTAGGCGGTATCGGAGAACATCCGCATCCGTATTAAAGTATTTTTCATTAAAGGATAGTTACGGCAAAATTCCTTTGGGCGATCCTTTTATATTGCTCGGAGCTCATGTAGATTCCGTTCGGCGATGGATCTAACTGAATGACGGAATAATGTTACTGCATGCTCAATCAAATAACCCCGTTCTTCTGGAACACAAACAGTGACGAATTGCGTATTTAGTTTGGTAATTTGTCTTACGGATTGTTAGAAAGAAGAAATTGCGATTGATACGTTTTAATTATTATAAGAAACTCTTTGTGGTGTAGTGTGCATTACTACTTAAGTAATTATAGTTGATGTTTGTAGATAGATCGTTACTATACTTGGGTACATTTGCAGTGAAAGCACGACTAAATATACTACTTGTATATATAACCAACTCCATCCAGATAAGGTGTACTGAGTCTATTGGCATATCAGTAATCTATTACTGGAACGGTAACACCGTAAACAATGCACATAAATATGTCAATAGATCTCTGACACCAATCTGATCCTCCTGCTGTCTGATTGATGCAATTACTTGCAAGCTTGTACGTGACACCTGCCATTTGTCGATTAATCTCCTTCGCGCTCCATTCGCCCGTGGCCATGTCGAGGAAATTCATACGACCCGCTGTACATCCCATGTAGCACTTCAAACGAGAGTTGTCGGGAAATTCGGTTTTCAAAATTATGCTTCGAGCAAATCTTAGGTCGACGCGCGTTTCACAAATGCAGGGGTTTTCGTGTGGTTCTACTATACCATACCATGCTACTCGAAGGTTCTCTGGAACTATCTGAACGGTTATTGGTTATAATCAGTCTGTTTGAAATATCATGGTGTATACATACATAATTTAATGCTATGCACGTGGTAATCAAACAGAGAAAAGTAGATAATACCTTTGCTGTTGCACCCATTGTGGCGTACTGAATGCAGGGAAAACACACAATCATCATAATGTGGTTTAGTGTATGGATGCGTTGGTTATCAAGTTTTTTCAGTAACACGTTCAATCGTTTTAAACGTTGCCAGATCAGGAGAATTGGTTCTAAATGGCGCGCACAATCTAGAAATAGCAAGGTGTGAGGAAAAGTTTTAACTTTCTCCCAACGGACGAAAGGTATAAAAATCAGAATTTCCGACACCCTGTTTTGGGGAGTAACTATTTACAATGCAATAGTCGTTCTACTCAAGACCATCTTGTGTTTTCAACGAGTCCCACTGAGCCCAATATGCTTTTATAGTGGGGCTAAACTTTGCCGCTTCTTTCCAGAAGGGTCTCTTGTCTGCAATTTTTCATTGCACTTTGTGTTGCAGATCGAGATCCCTGTCCTGAACGTGCCGAAATGCTTCGGGAACCCAATCGTCATCAATTGCCCCAATGTGCTCGGCTTCTTGTTGAGCACAATACCCGCAGTTGTTGGGACATGGTCTGTACTTTTCTTTCCATGGGTCGTGTGCCATTGCGTGTGACCTGAAGACCAAGAAACGGACTAATTGCTTTCCGAAACAACATTTGCTGGCGTTGATAATCTCTGTAGTGAACCAAGCGTTGGAACGGTTGCCTGAGGCGTGTTCGGCTTGTTCTGCGTCTTTCGAAGTCACTAGGATGTCATCGATGTACGCCTAACAAAAAAGTCGCGTAGCATGTTGTCCATGAAACATTGGAAGGTTTGTGCTGTGTTGCGTAATCTTAAACGTCATGATCGGAAACTCGAAGAGACCGAAGGGCGTGGGAATAGCTGTTTTCGGGATGTTCTTGTGAAAAGTCTTGCGAAACTGGGTATCGACCAGATACAGTTCTGGCGTTCTTTGTCCAGTAGTCTCTGCACGGTCTCCACTCGTTGGATTTCTTCGACACCAGGTGACGTGGCGATGCACAAGGTAGAGCTATTCCCAATTCTGGAACTCTTTTCTCACTTCCGTTAATTTCTCTGAACGCTTTCTGACAATCAATTATCTCTTTTTATCGTTCGTGTGAATATTTTGAGATAGCCCGGAGCTTGAACTGTATAAACTTAAACTTAAACGCGGAAATTCTTTCTAAAACACAAACAAGATCAACGGGAAAGCCCAGGCACGAGTTTGCACCAAAATCGAGGCCACTTAAGCTCTACGTCCCCTGGAAATACCCTTCACCAAAGCTTTCTCCACGGGAGAAATCCCAGAACACGACCTGCGTCACCACACAAGTTGACTCCTAAGTTACGTCAACCAGCCAACACACTTACGTTAAATAAACCGTTTTAAAGCGTTTTGAAAGGATAAATTCGGTATTGGTAGTATGGTATACGTTTTTTTGTAGACCAATGTTATTTCCCACGTTTAAAAAACGATTTTTGTTCCTATATGTAAGCCATAAAGTTCACGTTCTACGTTGATAATATGTATATAAATAAACGTTCTTTTAGCAATAATTGGATAAACGTATATAATACCACTTTGATTTACCATGCTGGAATATTGGCATATTTACTTCCTCCAAAATACGAATAAAAATTAGGCATATTCCACGTATCAAAATTGCGTATTATTTATGTCATAATCTAACGAAACTGGTATAAGAAACGTGGAAAATAGGTAGATAAATAAACGTTTTTTAGTGTTAATCTGACAAACGTATATAATACGTTTTTAATTTACCATATACCTACTGGAATATTGAGGTTGGTCTATATGGATACTGTGGACTGTTAACGGCGCTAATTACCGATGCAAAGGAAAGAAGAATGCCCAGGTTTACAAATAGGCAAAGAAGAAAATAGACCCTGAATGTTTGTGATGGACTTTGTAGGTAATTATTATGCGCTTTATTAATTCAGACCTTTGATTTGATTAAAAATATACAATCTACCAACCACATATATTGCATTTGTTATATACGTTTATTTTTTTAATCTAGGAATATTATATTTATGAATGCTGAATTAGCAGTACATTATCGACGAATGTAATACGATTAATGCGTACTCTGTATGCGAAATTTAAACGTATTCAGCAAACGCATATTATAAATCGTATATAAATGGGAATAATAAACGCAATAATATTCTACAAGATCTAGCAATATCCGCCGGACATTTATGCGTATTGTATATACGTAGGGTTTTAGTCTACAATAAACGCTTTTTATACGGAACTGTGTTGCTTGGGCACCGAGACCCTTTCACCAAGGCTCCGAACCTGGACCATGAAAATGTCTTCAATTTCCTGTTAGTATTCGGTTGTATACAGACGCGTTCACACGCCTTATTATCAGCTTAATCAACATCCATCATATCCTAGAGTTTATGCGATTATAGTGACATTCCGTGCGGTGAAGGCATCCATCGGACGCGTTCCCGAGTGACGGATAAAGAGACTCCCATACAGACACCTAAATAATCGTAAAGTGACTCGTGTTTCGGTGGGTAGTGACGATTGTAAGTGGCTCGCCGGGGTTAACACCCACACTGGTAGTGACGAATGTCGTTGCCATCAGAGTTGGACTGGGTCACTGGGTCAACTGGGTCACCTGGGTCACTGGGTCGCTGGGTCACGTCCTACTCTTTTCAGTTAGACCCAGTGACCCAGTTTGACCCAGTGACCCAGTTTGACCCAGTGACCCAACTTGACCCAGTTTGACCCAGTTTGACCCAGTGACCCAGTTTGACCCAGCGACCCAATTTCACCCGGGGATCCAATTCGACCCAGTCACCTATTTTGATCGAATAACGCAGTTAAGTCAGTGCCCTCGGTTCAAGTGTACAGATTATGCAATAAATGAAATGCTGGTTTGTTGAAAATAATACTCGATTGCTTGACAACTGCCATTTCTGTGATGTTTGCTTTAATACTGCCGTAAAAAACTTTCCATGTCCCGAATTGTATTAGAATAATGTTATTTCTTTGCTTCAGGGCTTACCAGTTTGCTTACAGGTGTTCATTCACATTTAATTTTTTTCTACTAGTTAGCTTAATCCAAATAAATCTTTTTCTAAATACTTTCATTGACTGCTTGACTACAAACTATAAACAAATGCATTTGATTTTTTTTAGGTATTAGTTCTCTTGAATGAAATTGGGCTACGTGCTTGTTGCCGAATATTATTGAGGAAGTTTTTTTTAAAATTAAAAGTTACTTGAAATTGTTTTGGATGATCTAACAATAATTTAATTACTGGGCCACCGGGTCAAAACGGGTCACTGAGTAAAGCTGGGTCAAGATGGGTCACTGGGTCAAGCTGGGTCACCGGGTCAAGCTGGGTCACCGGGTCAAACTGGGTCACCGGGTCAAGCTGGGTCACTGGGTCAAACTGGGTCACTGGGTCAAGCTGTCTCACCGGGTCAAGCTGGGTCACCGGGTCACTGGGTCACCGGGTCACTGGGTCAGTAAACTAACTGGGTCACCGGGTCACTGGGTCACTCTATGCTTGACCCAGTCCAACTCTGGTTGCCATCTTGATGTGGGCAACAGACTGATACCACAGACTACAATAAACCTATCCAGGTATACCAACATAATTTTGTTGGTGATATTGTATATAATAAATAAATAAGTTTCTTTATTCCCATTAATACAAAAAGATCTGGCCACGATAGGCATGCACGCCCACTAAATCACCTAATTTATTTAACCCCACACCTGACACCAATTGTAACGAACTAGTTAGAAACGATTATTTATTTAATAACTTATTTGTAATGAAAATTATAATTAACAATTAACAACATTAATTAAACCCTACCCCTTTCGAGGATATGACGGACTGTTCCTGTTAAAATAATATCCTTGTCGCATTGGCGACTGCAATTTCGGTACAATATAGTACTGTCGTAGTTTTCACTTTTGATTTAAATTAAATGGCTTATGCTTAGATATGATTTACAGATTACACCTCATGTAATTTTGAGAAAAGTGATTGTGTACAAATTTTGACAAAAGCTTCATACGCGGAACAATCTAAAGGCAGATCTTTCCCTCAAACTCCTTCCTGTCGCTTTGTCTTCTGTCCCACTTTTCGTCAACTGCCAACGTAACGGCAATACAAAGGAACATATTGTAGGCTTTTTGCGGCAAATCAACTTCCCCCTTCCCGTCCTCATTACACATCGCGATAATTTTGGCGGTGACTCCCCCGACCTGTCGAATAAACTCTTTTTCGTTCCAGGCACCTGTTGCCGCTTCCATCAAATTTAACTTCATTGAAATGCATTCAAGATATCTCTTTAGGCGACGATCATTCGGAAATTCGGTATACAAAAAAACGCGAGACGCGTAATCCTCTTTAACGTCGGATTTGCAAAGGCAATACGTGTAGTGCGGCGCTGCTAGCTTGACCCAAGATTTTCGCAAATTCATCGGGACGATCTACAAAGCTTATTAAACAGAATGGGATAGAGTGGGCCCATTGTACTTACCCTGACTGCAGTTACCAGAGTGATAAAGGATAACGTCACCAAAATTCTCATGGCTGAGGATGCAAAATATAGCGGAATAAAGCAGATTGTGTCTTATATGACATTGTTTAGATATTTACTGACAAGGGAGACTTATTGCACCGCTTCAAGTACATAATCTGTTTTGATCGTGCCACTCAATATAACTTTGTTTACTAATTCCAGCCACATTCACGTAGTAGCTGGATTCTCCTTGAACGTGATGTTTATTTATTCTTTTTTTCGTGGTGCAGATCGTGAGTGCTTGAAAACAATGTGAATTTTAAGAATTTTATTTCTTTATATTTATTCATTTAATTTCCATCATCACTACTTATCTCCCTTCTCTTTCCAATCCCCCTCCCAAAACTCATCATCTTCGACTTTTCTACGTTTAACTGCAACTTTCAAAATATCTCTCCATTCTTTCCTTCATTTCCTTCATTTGTTCTATTTCTGTTGCCATTATTATTGCCTCGTCCGCGTATACCAGTGATTATACCTTTCTTCTCCCCAATACCTTTCCATGTCTCTTATTCGGAGATTAGATAAGGTTGGGC